TCACACCTGCACTATGGGAGGCCAAGGTGGGTGGATCACTTGAGGTCAGGAGTTCAAGACCACACTGGCCAACACGGTGAAACCCCATCTCTACTAAAAAAAAAAAAAAATAGCTGGGTGTGGTGCCACACGTCTGTAATCCCAGCTACTCAGGAGGCTGAAGTGGGAGAATCTCTTAAACCCAGGAGGCAGAGGTTGCACTGAGCCAAGATCGTGCCACCACAATCCAGCCCAGGAGACAGAGCAAGACTGTCTAAAGAAACAAAGAAAAAAAATTAGCGATGTGTAGCTCACATGCCTGTAGTCACAGCTACTCAGAAGGTTAAAGTGGGAGGATCACTTGAGCCCAAAAAGTCCGGGCTGCTGTAAGCCATGATCTAGGCCACTGTACTCCAGCTGTACTCAAAATTCGTATGTTGAAATCTAATTACCAACATGATGTTAGGAGGCAGGGCCTTCTGGTAGGTGATTAGGTCATGAGCAGAGCCTGTATGAATGGGATTAGTGAAGGGCCTTATAAAGGGGCCTGCCTTGCCTCTTCTACCATGTGAGAACACAGGGAGAAGGCGCCATCTATGAATCAGAAAATGGGTCCTCATCAGATACCGAATCTGCTAGTTCCTTGACTTGGATTTCTAGTCTCCAGAACTGTAAGAAATAAATTTCTGTAGTTTCTAAGCTCCCTAGTCTATGGCATTTTGTTACAGCAGCTCAAACAAACAAAGATAATACTTCACAAATATGTAACATAGATATCACTATGATCTTCAATGACCTAAAATACAAGGTACAGGGCATTGGTTTTATTTCAGATATTTTTGCAATAACAAAGCAGAGATTAGTAAGTAATTCAACTCTCTTTCCTGTTCACTGACTCAACTCTCTTCAAACATAACTGCAGAAAAAAGGGGGAAAACTTCATTAAAAACAGTAGTGCAAAAATAGTGGCCAAACTATTCTCAACTTTTGGTTTTATAGCAAGCTGGAGCACATATCTAAAATATAAATTCCTGGACCCCAATGGCAGGCATTTTGGTCATTTTGGTTTAACAGGTCTTAACTGGAGCCCAGGGACTAGAATTTTTCCCAGAGGTCAGAAACTGAGGGGTGGGGGGTGGAATTTTAATTTAAATTACCAAAATATTAGCTAAAATGTTGTTGTGTCAGGTACCATACTAGGTACTCTATACCAGCTATTTAATAATATTTAATTTCAATTCTCATAAACAATTCAATACCACACTCTCCTGATGATGAAAACAAGTTCAAGGTCAACACAGTCAGTAAGTGACAAAGCTGAAGTCTGTGACCACAAAATCCTTGCTTCCTATTAAGTTCTCAGTATATAACACTAGTGTTCCCAGGATCCAGTGGAAATCACAACTCTATGGCCTAACCAGATTTAAAATAGAAAAGTGAGGTAATTACCTCCCTGTGTGACAATGAGACACACAAAGGGCATGATGGATCCACAAATGGTATCACTGAAGTGTTTAGTAATTTCTTGACTCCCCACTACCAATACTGCTGTATAGCCACAGGTAAAATTTTGATAATCAACGTCAGGACTCATCAGTGAAATATGATAATTTAATCACCCTGAGTAACTAAAATGCAACACAGTGGTATGAAGTACTGATGTCTGGTAATAACTACTGCTTTCTGTCGAACACCTTAATAGTCCGTCCACACTGAAAAGCTTAAAAAAATATCTCCTTGTAGAAGAGCCACTCCTTATCCAGCATTCCTCCTCCTTTGAGGCACCCCTCCTCTCCAACACCAACCATATTATTCTGTCTACCACAGAGATGTACAAGTGACACAGAGCCAACCAATCAGAGCTCCCCATCCCAAGTAACACTGGTACACAAGTGGGCATGCAATCTAAGCAAGTCCAATGAGAGCCTTTTCCTAGGATTTTGTATTTGAGATTACAGAACTAAACCCACAAAGAACAGAAAAAACCCACAAACAAAGTTTTGTCTTTAGTGGAAAAGAGTTCCCAGTCCTTAAGGTTCTTTGAGCCACCCTGATATCTGCAGCTTTTCCTCCAATTCTGTTCCTTCCAACAACTGTATAATCCTATGCACATGTTTTGCTTGAGACAATTTATTCTTCATCAAAGACAACTAATATTACAAATTAAGTAAGGTAATCTAATGTACAGCCTGGTGACTGAAGTTAACAACCTCTATTGTATACCTAAAATGCACTAAGACAGTAAATCTTAAGTGTTCTCATCACAAAAAGAAGGAAAAAACCCTACGTGAGGTGATTAATGATTTTTTTTTTTAGACGGAGTTTCGCTCTTTTTACCCAGGCTTGGAGTGCAATGGCGCAATCTCGGCTCACCGCAACCTCCGCCTCCTGGGTTCAGGCAATTTTCCTGCCTCAGCTTCCTGAGTAGTTGGGATTACAGGCACGGGCCACCATGCCCAGCTAATTTTTTTGTGTTTTTAGTAGAGACGGGGTTTCACAATGTTAACCAGGATGGTCTCGATCTCTTGACCTCGTGATCCACCCCACCTCGGCCTCCCAAAGTACTGGGATTACAGGCATTAGCCACCGAGTTAATGATGTTAACTAGCTTGACTGTGGTGATCATTTCTCAATGTATATGTATATCAAACTATCAAGTTGTAAGCCTTAAACATATACAATTTCTATTTATCAATTATACCCTAATAAAGCTGAAAAAAATACCTAAATTAAGTATTACCTACATTTTACAGGTGAGAAATTGAAACAGAGGCAAGTGAGACAATTTAGCCAAGGTTTCACAGCAACCAGAGCCAGAATACTGAGAACACATGTTTATCTGACTCCAAAACCTATGTATTTTCTGATTACTAAAATCATGGCTGCAGACAGAATACACAAATGGATAACACATTTCACTGAAAAAAAAAATTGTTCCTTTCATTTTAAAGTTCTTACTTCAAGGACTTGGAAAGACTTTTCTAAGTATTTTGTTGCCATGAAATTCTATACTACGAATAGTTTTTATAAGATCTGACCAATGGTACTTGGTACAAACCTAGATCCCACATTTAAAATAAGAGAGAGAAACAGTAGTCATAATCTTTCAGGTAAGATGGTTAGCAAAAAAAGCAAAAATGCAGTATACCTAAGTACTATTTTATATATATATATATATTGTAAAGATGGGTTGTTGACCAGGCTGGTGTCAAACTCCTGGCCTCAAGCAATCAATCATCCCCATTCAGCCTCCCCAAATTCTGGGATTACAGCCGTGCCCTGCCAAAAGTTGATCTAGCTCTATGAGATTTCGATAAAGATGCTATAAACGATGATATGTAAAATGGCGTCCTGAGGTCTTAGAAACTTGTCTGACCTTAATCAAACCATAGGTTAAAACTTGACAATCCAACTTTTCCACGTTGTTCCTCTGCCCAAATGGTTTCTTATTGGCGAAAATGTGGTGACACGTTGTTCTTCAACACGTTTTTACAAAGACAGATACACCTTTAGTTTTAATTTAGATGTACAGCTCATTTAAAATAAAGAGTAATGCCACTCAAAGGACCTAAAAAAGTACAGCATTTCAGTTGACTCAATCCTGACACACAAAACTTAACCTTTCAGCAATGACTCTATTGGATGTTTATTAAAAGTGAGGTTCTTATTTTCAACATTTCAAATAATTTCATTAAAGTTAACTGGCCAAGCAAACACAATTTGTAAAATGTTGTTACAAATAAACTAAGACCAAGGCACTAAAAATGCAATGCGAACATCAGTCTAATTTCATTCAATATTTAATTAAAATGTTGCCTCCTTACAGTTCTGCTCAATATAAAAATAATTCCTATTCCATAATTGTAAATGCCTCACAATAACCTACTAGGCCATAAGCAATTTAGCTTCAACCTGTCCTTTTTCACGAAGCTCATTCAAGTCTTCAGTGATTGCTTTCTCCTATGACAGATAACTGAGAGTCCTGATGTAGGAATTACCCTGACTGTAACCAAATGGCACGATAAGTCCGCTTTCCGCGCTGCTCCTCTTCCCAAACGTTCCCTTTTCATTCTGGGAATGACCATCAATTCAAAATGATGTTAAACAACAGCCCACAGCTGACCTATGCTTCCTGTTCCTACAAACCCTGTAGTTTTCTATATCAAACTAGCATTTGCCAAAGCTTGGGAGCGAGCACTTCCCGTCATTCCCAGAGAGGTGCCCATAAACAAGGTGGAAATGTCCATGTTGCAACACAATGCAAACGCTCAGATTTCAAGCATTAATAATGTCGACAGAAACATTTTTTTTTCTATTTAAACCTCACGTTAAGTCCAACTCTAGCAGTGATTTGTGCAAATCCACCTAAGTCATTATGTCTCTTTTTAAATACCTATTTGTAAGAAAGATACCTAATCTCACTCCACAGCAGACTTGAGCACACCAAGTATCGCTCATTTTTCTTAATTTGCTCTAAGTTTCCGAAAAAATTGTTTCCAAAAAAAAATTTTTTTCACAACCCGCACAAATGCTATTTCCAAATTTAACTAACCGTGGCTAATACTAAAACGTGTAAGCGTTAACACAGAAAAATTAGCATGAGACACACACACACACACACACACACTCCCGAAACACTGAACTAGGGCACCGGCTTGATGTTTAAATATCTCAACTTGAACTCCATCGAAACGAGAGAATTCTCACTACCCAGGAAGCAGTAAGGCTTTTGTGGACACCTCTTATTTTCAACGAACCCTCTTTTTATAAAAGTTGAAAATTAATTTCTAACTGCCTTAAAGGTCACATGACTGGGTCAAAAGACAAACACAAAAAGTGTGGAACGCTCTCAGGCGGGAGCAGCGCGGGTTTAGCCCCGGCCGGAGGGGAAGGAGAGAAATGAGGGGTCAGCGACCGCCGCAAAGACGAGGGAGGCGCGGCACCCACCGGCGAGCAGCCCAGGCCAGACCGAGCCCTGCGCCCCGCGCTCTCCGCGTCCCCACACCGGGAGCTGCCCGTACCTGTCCGACCCGCCGGGATGCGCCACGGGGCCCGCGCCTCTCAGGGTGCTGCGTCCGCCGCCCGCTAGCCAGGAAGCCACTGCGGCCTGTGGCTTCCCGCCACCGTCGCCCGCTCCTTCCTCAAGGGACACGGCGAGCTGGCTGAAAGCATAAAGGAGCGAACAGAAGCCGCAGGCCAGACACAGCACCACGATGCGCAGGTAGCGCCGCATCGCCGCGGCCGCGCTCTGCCGTCTCCGTCGCCGTCGCGGCCACCGCGCCCGCCAGGGCGAACTGGAGCGGAGGGAGCGGCACCGCGCAGCCGCGAGCGCAACAAGTTCCTCCCCCGCCGCCGCCGCCGCCGCCGCCGCCGCCTCTCGCCCGCTCCCTTCCTTCCCTCCCCGCCCACCACCTAGGCGAGCGTAGCCGCGGCGCCGGACCCGCTGACAACCCGCCCGGAAGCCAAGACGCCGCCTCCGCGGCCGCGCGCCCCTACATCAGCGACAGAGACGCGGCCCCGCCCCTCCCGCGGGCGGGAGGGCCCGGCGCGCCGGCGCACTGGCCGTGGGAGAGACGCAGGGCGGGCATGCCGGGGTCGGTGTGGGTGCGTGGAACGTGGTGCGCGTCGCGACTAGAGGGAGCGCCTGCCGACCTGCAGGTAACTCGGTGCCCAGTGGCTCCGGACCGCCGAGAGAGGTGGAGCGAAAGCTTCAGGGCTCTGGAGGCAGTTGACCTAAATTCTAATTATGGTTCTTCCACATGGTAGTTTGTGACATTGGGCAACCTAAATTCCGTGAGCATGTTTCTTCATCCCTAAAATGGAGCTACTATCCTCATCACGGGGTGGTTGTAATGATTAAACTGTCTGACGCACGAAAACCGTCTAATACTTAGACGGCCCTCGACTAGGCCTCTTTCCTATTCATCCTCTCCCAGACTCTTAAGTTTCTATGATGGTGCGCGCACGAGCTATTTTCACCCAGATAATCTCATTGCTTCGTTTGTCTGGTATGCGGACCTTGCCTCCCAGTTCCCGTAAGGCAGGGCTCTTCCCTTTGACCTCCTTCACAACTCATTATTTGCATGTGCAAAACAATTAGTATTCTCCCCACATAGCTTCTTTCGTCCCCAGTTCTTCTCCCTCTTCTTCAGCTGTTTACACTGCGTTCATTCACTGACTATTTAAAAGAGCATCACTTTTGCCAAGCAGTGAATACCTAGGGGTATAAAGAAACCTAACTAGAGCGTACGTGGGACAGCGGATACTTGTAAATAAGCGCAACACAATGATCCAGAGTTAAGACCCAGGCCTGTAAGGGTGTGGAAACAAATCAGCCCTGCGAGTGTGGTCAAGAGAGACTTCATAGCAAAGGTGGCGCTAGAATTTTGAGTCAGGTAAGGGAACTAATTCCAGGCTGAAGGATCAATAAACAGGCTCTTGTGCAGGGAACTGTGAGAAGTTTGATACCACCAGCTAAGTGAATGCAAGAGAGGAGATGATGAGTGATAAGAGTGTAGAAGTAGAATGGGCCAGATATTTGAGTGCTTTGTCTACCACAGCAAGGAATTTGAATTTAATCTGCCAGACACTAGTGAACCATTGAAGGGTTTTTAAATAGGGAAGTAACATGATCATATTTGCATTTTAGAGCGCAGATTCTGGCTGTAGTGTAGAGGCTGAAACAGAGAGGAGAGATTGGAGGCAGAAAGCAGCTCCAGTGCCAAAAAGTGAGGGAAGGGACACTTAAAAATATACACACACACGAACACACATTCGTGGGGAAAATGCAGTTAAACTTCAGAAATTGCATCTTGGGCGTCGAAAAGTTTGGCTGTGAAATACAAGGTGGGGAAATGCTGCACAACATAGAAGTAGTCTCCATTTAGATCCTCGGATCCCTACACCAAAATAGTAGTGGCTCTGTGACCATGAGAAAATCACTAAACAAATTTAAGGTTCAGTTTTCCTTTCTTGCTTGCTTTACCTGATTTTTTTTAAAAAAAAGGAAAACTAGCATGCTATCAAGATGTGTAAAGATTGGGAGGCGGAGGCGGGCAGATCACGAGGTCAAGAAATCAAGACCATCCTGGCCAACATAGTGAAACCCTGTCTCTACTAAAATATAAAAAATTAGCTGGGCGTGGTGGCACGTGTCTGTAGGCCCAGCTACTCGGGAGGCTGAGGCAGGAGAATTGCTTGAACCCAGGAGACAGAGGTTGCAGTGAGTGGAGATCACGCCACTGCACTCCAGCCTGGCGCCTGGCGACAGAACAAGACTCTGTCCCAAAAAAAAAAAAAAAAGATGTGTAAAGAGAATGAGAACATACACTCACGCATTGAATAAGCATTTATTAAACATATTCTACAAGCCAGACACGGGGCTCGGATGCCGAGTATTTAGAAATAAAGGAGTGTATTGCTGCTCTCAAATAGAAGACAGGCAAATAAAAAGCATAATAATACTAAATTAATCCTTCCACTACACCTTACAATTCTTAGAGAAATGAAAATAAACTTAAGGAAGTACACAGAACGATAGGAAAAGCATTGGTAAGAATGAAAGTATCTTTTGAGAGAAAGCTGAAGGATATGGTACCAAGAAACTAAAGAACTGGTCTCAAAAAACGTTTAATTTAAAAGATGCTAACTATAACTATTCTCTGTTTCAACAAAGAAGCTAAACATAATAATTAAGAATAACTCCTTGACCCACGGATGGTTAAAATAATGGAATGGCAAAAAGAGAAGCCAGGCAGTTTTCATTTTTGCAACAATTTTATGAAAAGAGCATATCAGGAGGAATAACCACTCATTTATTGATGTCAGAGTGCTGGACCATATCATCCCTTTAGGTTCCTTCTAATCCTATACTCTTCTGTTGAAAAATTACATAAGCCATTCCAAAAATAGAAAGGATTTTTCTGTTACTGACACACCATCTTAACTGGCTAATCTTGAAGGAGCTGTATGCACGCTGGCATCCCCTCTATTAACAGGATTTACACATTGCATTTTGATAATCCTAAAATTAAGTTTATGAAAATGATTTAACATATTTGATGTCACAACAGTTAGGTGTTTCTTTCATTTACTGCATGAAAGTATGTATTCCTAAAACTAGGAAAGAAAGAAAAGAAATAAAGAGAGGGAAAGAGATAAGAAGACTCTTCTGACCCAGGTTTCCAAAAATTGAAGGCTGAAAATAATTAAGAATTCTGATACTATCACACTTCTATCTGATCCTTGACTAAACGCAGAATTCTTACTGTTCCCTCATACCCCTTTCTCTACAGAAATTACATCACTAGGTAATCCTGTTATGTTTGGTTTCTTTTATTTTATATTCATATATTTTATTTTTAATAAAGTAAACATTTTTTTTTGCTTTCTTTTGTAATTAAGTGCAAGTGTTCCTTGAATTATTTATTTTATTCTGTGCTAGAAAACATAGGCTTTTTTATTTTCCCTTATTAGAAACCAAAAACTACCTCTGAGGCCTAAGGCCAGATCACTGCTCTTTTCTTCTGGGAACCCAGCCTTTCTTTTCAAAAATGCATTCAACACTAACAGTTTTCACCACTGTTACTCAACATACTACTGGAAGTCTTAGCTAGAGCAATCAGACAAGACAAATAAATAAAGGGCATCCAAATTGGAATGGAAGAAGTTGAATTATCCTTGTTTGCAGATAATTATAATCTTGTATTTGGAAAAACCTAAACACACCACCAAAAAAAACAATTAGAACTGATAAACAAATTCAGTAAAGTGTCGGGATAAAAAATCTACATACAGGCTGGGTGCATTGGCTTACACCTGTAATCCCAGCACTTTGGGAGGCAAGGCGGGCAGATCACAAGGTCAGGAGTTTGAGATCAGTCTGGCTAACATGGTGAAACCACGTCTCAACTAAAAATACAAAAAATTAGCTGGGTATTGTAGTGGACACCTGTAATCCCAGCTACTTGGGAGGCTGAGGCAGGAGAATTGCATGAACCCAGGAGGTGTAGATTGCAGTGAGACAAGATCGTGCCATTGCACTCCAGCCTGAGTGACAGTGCAAGATTCTGTATCAAAAAAAAAAAAATCAACATACAAAACTCCGTAGCATTTCTATATACCTAAGGTAAACAATCTGAAAAATAAAAAAGTAATCCCAAATCCCAATTAAAATAGCCACAAATAAATATCTTATAATTAAGCAAAAGTGAAGGATCTCTACAATGAAAACTATAAAACATTGATTAAATAAATTTAGAGGACACAAAAAAAAATGGAAAGAAATTCCCTGTTGATGGATTAGAATCATATTGTTAAAATGTCCGTACTACCTACCCAAAGCAATATACAGATTCATTGCAATCCCTATCAGAATGCTAACGACATTCTTCACAGAAGTAGAAATAACAAACCTAAAATGTAGATGAAATAACAAACCTAAAATGTAGATGAAATTACAAAAGACAGAATAGCCAAAGCTATCCTAATAAGCAAAAAGAACAAAACTAGAGGAATCAAATTACCTGACTTCAAATTATACCACAGAGCTATAGTAATCAAAACAGCATGGTACTGGCATAAAAACAGACACATAGACCAATGAAATAGAACCCAGAAGCCAGGTGCAGTGGCTCACACCGGTAATTCCAGCACTTTGGGAAGGAAAGGCAGGTGGATCACTTGAGGCCATGAGTTAGAGACCAGTCAGGCCAACATGATGAAACCCTGTCTCTACTACAGATACAAAAATTAGCCTGGCGTGGTGGTGCACACCTGTAATCCCAGCAACTCAAGAAGCTGAAGCATGAAAATTGCTTGAACCCAGGAGGCAGAGGTTGCAGGAGCCAACATTATGCCCCTGCACTCTAGCCTGGGTGACACAGTGAGAGTCTGTCTCTTGAAAAAATAAAATAAAATAATAGAAAAAAATAGAGAACCCAGAAACAAGTCCACATACCTACAATGAACTCATTTTTGACAAAGGTGCCAATAGTATACATTGGGAAAAGACAATCTCTTCAATAAATTGTGCTGGGAAAACTGGATATCCGTATGCAGAAGAATGAAACTAGACCTCTCTCTCTCACCATAAACAGAAACCAAATCAAAATGGATTAAAGACTTAACTCTAAGACCTCAAACTATGAAACTAGTAAAAGAAAACATTAGGGGAAATCCCCAGGACCTCAGTCTGGGCAAAAGTTTCTTGAGTAACACCCCATAAGCACAGGCAGCCAACGCAAAAATGGACAGATGGAATCACATCAAGTTAAAAAGCTTCTGCACAGCAAAGGAAACAACAACATGAGGAAACAACCCACAGAATTGGAGAAAATATTTGCAAAGTACCCCTCTGACTAGGAATTCATAAACATTCTATAAAGAGCTCAAACAAATCTATAGGAAAAAAATCTAATAATCCAATCAAAATAATGAGCCAAATATTTGAGTAGACATTTCTCAAAAGATGTACA